ATATTAACACTAATGGTATACGGTACAAGTTCACTAGCACCCAACAACCACATACGGTGCTTACAAGATTTTTTTTTTTACAAAGTAGTTAGAAATACTAGTCCGGCACACGCGGACAGATGATGATCCTCGTTTGTTTACTGAAGAATTACAGACATATCAGCTAAATATAAAAAAACATTAATCCTAGAAATTAGTGTAGTAAAATTTTGATTTTCCTAGAAAAACATAGTTTTGTGGAATTTGTATCATGACTTTTCACGGAATTAAATTTTTTACAACCATGAAATCCACCATTTATTTCTATTATATCAGGATGAGATTCTCGGTTTTTACAGAAGACACATAACTTCATGGAACTTGTTTCACATTATCTAAGCCTTGGAAATGATTTAAACTGGACATATTTTTTAAGGTGAAATGATATTTTAAAACTTGGTAAAAGCATAAACTTGTGAAAGATTTTTTTTATTATTTAGTTGCTAGTTAGACAACCTGAATATTAGATGTGTTGTAACGTGAAGGTGAACAAAGACTGCATGCATGTGGGCTGCTGTCAACTGTCGGATGTCATTCAAGCCGTCCGCAATGAACATATTTATTATCCCTCAGAGGTCATTAAAAGTGTGCAGAAGGATACAACCATATACTTGTTTTTTAAAAAAAAATATGTCGAACTAAAATAACGAATACACCCGGACTAATATAGTGATACGGAAACCCTATGCTTGTTTAATGGTAAGATATCAGAGGGGCGAGTGCTCCTATGCATTTTCGGATCATAAGTATGCTCTCAATAGAAAATTTGACAGCCCCAATCGTATGATCCGCGAATGGCTTCTATAGAAAATAAAATCCTAGCTTAATTCTTCCAAAATGCCTGTAGTGCGCATGAGCTTGCAATCATTCCTTGGGTCCAAAGGTGTGAAAAGAGTTATTTTTGGAGGGGGGGCCATTATGGCTAGCTTTATTGGACTAAAGAACAATTACATCGTTTACTAGTTGGCTAAGTAAAAACCCCGGTGGTTCATTAGCCCAACTATTGTCACATTTATTACAAAAACTGAACTTAGCTAGCTCGTGAGCAACCGAATTTGCATCACGAAAACAATGCTTAAAGATGACCTTCCCTATTGACGTAGCTATATCAACGCATTCCGCAAAGATTGCCGCTGCCGCATCCCACCATTGAGCCTGCCCTTGACAGTAATTCACCATATTCAGAGAATTGGATTCTGCTTCAACTCTGTTAAAACCCAAAGAATTTGCCAGGTATAGTCCATCGCGCATTGCCATTGCTTCAACAGTCATTGCATCAGCTGCGTTTTGGATGAGTCTACATTGAGCTGCTATGAATATTCCTCTTGCATCACGCAAAATTGCCGCTGTTGCACCCATGCCATCATCTACATGGAACGAGGCATCAACATTAAGCTTAATGAAGTTGGGTTCTGGTCTTGTCCACTTATGTTCACTCGTCTCTGGCTTTTGAATTAACTTCATATAGTTCCCGATAATAGCCAAAATCGAACCAGGCCACTGGAATGGAGGAGGGCAAGAATCATGATGTGTATGTTGCCTACGCAGCCACCATAAATACCAGCATCCGGTGGCGAAAACTTCTTTACAGTTCAGACTTGGCATAACAGACAAGGGAACGTCTGACTCAACGAGTAGATGTTCCAAAATTACCGATCCCGACCGATCAATGTGTAAAGCACTGTTTACCTTATCAATAAGGCCCAGATCAGTCCACAATCTCTTGGCAAGTACGCATTGAAAGAGTAGGTGTCTCACATTTTCCTTCAAGAGAAGAAACAAAATCACTTCTTTCTCCTACCACATTTTCCTTTCTCCCTTTTCATTTCTCCTAGTTGCAATGTGCAGTACCGCAACCAGGCAATCTGTCTCGTCTCTGGTTCCAGTCATAATGCACATTGCGCATGCTCTATGGTGGGATCCACGCAATAAAACAGTGTCCGAGTTCGCCTCCATGAATTCTGGTTAGCCAAACCTTGGAACACAAATTTATTGATACTAATTTAGGAATGATTAGGCCAACTCCAACGCATGACCCCAAACAGATATTTGTATTGTTCGGAATTTGTCCATTTGGATCAGACAATGGGATGGTGTCCGACCGTTTTTCTGGATGCACCGGCCGTTCGTCCAACCGTTTTTCTGGATGCACCGGCCGTTCGTCCAACACGCGAGCGCATCTCGGCCGCATCTCATCCGGCTGCATGTAAATTTTTGCAAATGTAATTTTGTCAGCGAACGTAGCTCTTTTCATGCCAACGATCATAGTTCATGCCGGCAACAAAGCCAGCGGTCGGCAAATATATGCCAACCTACAAAATGGTCAAGCCCCAAGTTTCACATAGGCAACAAAGTCAGCGGTCGGCACACTAGCTAGCCTTCAAAATAAACAAGCTACACACTTGCCAACCTTCAAAAAGAACGGCCATAGTCCACGGCCGAGGCCTCCCTAGATCAGGCCTCGGGTGCTCGCAAACTTCCTCCGCGCATGAAAAGTTTTATGAACTACCGTCCAAAAGACGAATCCTTTTTGCTCAGCACCGATCTTGGGGTCTTGGCCTATCTCCATCCAACTCTCGCGAATCAAAGTGTCCTCTTCCTTGTTGTATGATCCCGTGTGAATGCTTTGCTTCCTCCTTTGTGCCTCGACTCTTTGGGTAAGCTCGTCGATAAAAAATGGCTCCTCCGCAATGTCGACCTCTTCTTCCTAATCTTCGCAATACATGTCATCATCTTCATGCCATGAGGTGCCACGGTCGTCGGCCTCTTCTTTTCATGGGCACCGAAGTGGTCATCACCATCTTGGCCATGGCCGTCTTGGCTTTGGGTCTCATCGGAATCGTAGGCATGGCCTTGGCTTGGCCACGCCCCTCGTAGGCATGGCCTTGGTCGTCGACGTGGAAGTCCTGGCCACGGCCCTCGTAGATAACGTTCTCCATTGACACGGTGTAGTCAGAGTCGTCGCCGTCGGCGTCGGGATTGGCATTTCATCAAACAGCTTGCAGACGCTGGGAAGGTTGGTCGTAGGAATCGACCGGGGCTGCTTTCTTTCCATCTCGTCGGACGACTGGCCAGCGCCACTGAACCCAGGCATGACGTTGAGGTCGATGACGGCCAGGGTGGCAGGGTTGGCCCGTGCGATCATGTTGTCATCCGGTGACATGGAGAACCGGGTTTGGCCACGCAGCCACGGCGGATGAAACCCGGGCGTCTCTGGTGTTATGGAGGAGCTCAACGACTAGTACTGCGGAGAGCGAACAGCCGACGAGTCTATGCTTGCCGCGGCCATGGAGGCGGCGAAGAGAATGGCCGACCTGGGTCGGCACAACCCTAGCATGACGAGGGTCTGCGTCGTCGCTGCCTGCGTGGCGTTGGCGAGGATGGCCTCGTTTTGGTCGACGACGGCCTTGTGTTGCACGGCCTGCTGCATGGCCGCGGCCTTAGCGTCGGATTCGACAGCAGGTTTCTTCTCCACCTCCCTTGTCCATGGGCCCTCCTCTTGGTTGATTCCTGGTCGAGCCGCGCAAGCACCGTCGGCGTGAGGTCCGGCCATGGTTTCTTTGGGCCGTTCTTCTTCCTCATGGGACGCCGCGGCGCTGGGTTTCTTCGGGGCGCCAACCATGAAGGAGGGAGGAGAGATGGAGCGCGGGAGGGCTTTTGGGAATGGGAGGGAAAGTGGGCACGGTGTGTCCCTGACAGACGAGCCAGAGGAGGACAAGAGTGTGTGTCCCGCCTGTTGTCCGTTTCAACGTAAACACAGCCTAAATTTGGACAAAAAATGGGTCGAAAGGGGACAGAAAACGGACATTAATCCATTTACTCCCGCACGTTGAACCGTGTTTTGTACTCATATGTTTACCTCAAATGGACGCGAGCGGATCATTTGGGGTCATGCGTTGGGGTTGGCCTTACTGGGTGAAAGCGTGGTATTAATGGAGGTAGCAGTACTTTTGTTAGGTGAAAGCGTGATGCCCTGCACTTTCATGTTACCAAAGTAGCAAGGCGACTGAACTTTTCTTCGCTAGGTCTCGTCTTCCAGACCGCGCAGAACGTTGAGCCCTTGATTTACTCGCAATTGGCAGCCTAACTGAAGCAGAAATCCGCCAGAGATTTCAGGGGAAGAGCAGAGCAGCCCGCCAGCTTCTTTTCACAGAGTATCCTCGTAATGATGCGAGCAGACTACAGGCTCCATCTACTGCAAACATCCAAACCGGGCATGTGACCGGCCTCGACTATGAAAGCTGCTTTACATCACTGCCGCTTACGTCCTCGGCATAATAATAAAATAAGAGCACCTCACTCAACAAGCGCAAAGAAATTTAAAAAAAGTGAGGTACCTCACTTGTTTACCTGTGCACTCGATTGATGATTGCTCAGACAATCTCTAGATGCTGTTTCCAACATGAGACAAAAGCCAACGACAGAATTTCACCTTTTGGTGCTCTCCTTTCAACTGACGAACTAATAATTCGTAGGAGTGCAGTGCCAACAAGTTAAAGCAACGAAGGCAACCCTCAGGGCTCTAGACTAATGCAAATCTACCCCACATTGGGTTACTCCAAAGAATAAAATCTCGACACATTAGAATAAAGTGAACATTCTGTCTTCGCTTCAAGAATTATATATTATGATTTGTGTTTGCTTCCTAGCCTAGCAATGTACAAGGGAACACTACAAGTCTACAACCCCACCAAGAAGGCCTAGAGATGGTTAAGACCTAAGAGGGGTCATCTATTGTAGATGATGAGGATCGGTGTATTGTTAGCCCCAGAATTAGCCTACATCAAAATAGCCTGAACATGTCTCTACAAAGGTCGACATGAGGGCCATGGAATGAACAACACTGCAACGGGGGTGCTTGACGACGGAAAATCACACCGCCAGACTGCACGCAAAGAATGATCATGCTATACAATGATGCCAAAATGAATCAGGATCAGTCAAACCAGCCATGGCAGATGCTATCTAGCCTGGATGGATTTAGGGTGTTCTGGTTTATTTGAATGGCACATGCAGTCAGGGCATGGAAACGTGTATACAGATTCATTTGCTCTTTTCAACTGAATACCCTTGGCATCGCTGTGCGACCTCATATTAAGCAGCTGACGTTTTAATGACTTCCATCTGCATAAAAGGGGGGTGCAGTTTTTTTTAACAAAATAATATTTATGATTCCAAAACTGAAAAAGATGGTGAAAAGTAATGTTTTACTGGCCATGAACCACAATAACATACCCGATACGTGGACTGTCAAAGAGTACGGCCAATCTTCTTTTATCAGGCTTAATTGTCTTCGAATGCCCACCATACAAGTATCTTCTATGACCAAGAAGGAAATGAGGAAAATTTCCACCTTGAGTAGTCACGAAAACCTCACTATGGACACAAACGCTGTAGTCAATAGCTGCCATCCTCGAGGAGAAATTCTGGAAAACATTGCGCTATGTTAGAGCAGCATACTTCAAAGTTCAGTAAATAAGACTTTAGAACTCCAATTCCTACAAACCTTGAACGGAGCAAGTTCTTCATCTGATGCCAATGTTTCTTTTGTCTGTAAGAGAGGGAACATTTCAAGGAGAGGAGCCATGTTCTTCTCTGCTTTATATATTCTCCCAGAAGCCAAATAGATTGAAGTCTTATTGCTGAAACCCATTCCACGAAGCATTAATCCAACCTAAACAACACACGGCATGGACATGTAAATGACTGTAACAAAAAGAATCAGCACCAACTGCTGCTGAAATCAGACAAGATTTGCTAGAAATATAGTTTGTATTCATTTCATAATGAAATTTCTGAAGCATCTTCTGAAGCAGTAACACCAACATTACATACTAGCGTACCTCCAAAGGTGTAAGTGGACATTTCCCATTCATCCTTATTGCTCCAGGCCTTATTACACGTCCGGGCCTAGTAAATTTTCCACGCCAACCTCTTTCCCTGGCCTCATCCAATTCCTTTTTTTCCTCATCACCACCATCAAAGACACAGCAAGAGAACGCAACCATATCCTGCATAAACAAAAACAATGGATGACGGTCCTCGTCTGGTAACCATGTTCATGCCCATATTTCACAAATGAAATTCAGACAGAAGAATGAAGAACAGTCTTTTAAAGTAGAAAACCAACCTCTTCAAAACGGAGATGCACTGCTACATATTTCCCGTTGTTTTCCACACTTTTTTCTCTCATTCGAGAAATTAAAGTGTCAGATAAAGCAGTGATTGGTTTAGAAAACTTTAAGGCTTCAAAGTTAGCCAGGCATCTCAGTCGTTGAACAGCAGGCGGAGCATCAACTGAAAGCCGATTTGCAAAAGGTGATATCCTTATGAGCCTATAATTTATTCACAGACAATAGTGTTAAATGGTCATATAACAGTTAAACACAATAATATCAGAAGAACATTTTCTTCGGAGCTGCAATAACCAAATTGGCTTTAACTCACTTTTCTTCAATTAACTTCGGAAGAACAACATCTTTGTAGTACTGAATAGGAGACCAAGCCCTTATCTTGAAATTATGAACATTACTCAAATTGTTACTAAACCGCTCCATTATGAATCCAGGCACCTTGTCAACCACTCGAACATCATTTTTCAAACGTTGGACAAAGTGGTCCTCGTCATAGATATCACTGAATTTGCTGTATCAAAAAAAAAAATATTAGTATCAATCCTTGGCAATTCTAGGCAAAATTAATAGGATTCGTTCATATTGAAGTTGACCTAAGAACCACAGGTTCTGAGAAATCCCCTCATCCAAACACACCCCTGAGATTTACATTTTATGAACAACACATTATTTTTCAGAATCGCCAGAACCTTGAAGTTCTGCATAGCTAACAAAAGACCCATGCATGAAACACATGCCATCACAAATTTATCTTCTTATGGTTCTATTTAAGAATGGGTATGCCATACACCCCACGGGGATTGTAGTTCAATTGGTCAGAGCACCGCCCTGTCAAGGCGGAAGCTGCGGGTTCGAGCCCCGTCAGTCCCGAACTAGAAAATGGGAAACATGCTATCGTGTACTCCCTCCATTCCTAAATATAAGCCCTTTTAGAGATTCCAATATGGACTACATACAGAGCAAAATGAGTGAATCTACGCTCTAAAATACGTCTATATACATCCATATGTAGTCTGTACTGGAATCTCTAAAAAGGCTTATATTTAGAAACAGAGGGAGTACAATAGTATATTAAGTAGTTCCCTAAACATAAATGACTAAGTGTGTATTTGTGTAGTTATATTGATGTTTGAATCCATTGACCATAGCATGGCACTACAGCAAGCCAAAAAAAAGGATAACAGCTCATAGCTAACAAACTGAGCTCTCTAGTGTGAATCTAGCTCAATAAAATGTTAAGTTAATATACAAGTCATCCTTTGTAAAGTCTTTTATATTGTAGAGAATGGTAGAAGTTAAGTACAGTGCAACTGTCATTATTCAGAAAACGATATCAATAACCATGAATTCTTTTTTTGTCAACCCTAACCAAAAGACATGATGCGAAAAGACTATATACAGATAGTGGTACGGCGTATGAAAACCCAGTAGCACCATCATTAAGGATTACAATCAACATCATGCATATCAAAAAGAAAGAGACCTAGGATCCCTCCAAATGCTGTGGTAGTGAAAATTTGGGATTACAAGAGTTGCGTTCAGAAAACCAGCAACTGCGACTGCATTGCATATCTGCAGAATGATAGGAAATATCAGTGAGCAACACTTTGTACATTGGAAACTTTACGATACAAATTTATTTTGGTAATTGTCACAAAGAGCAACTGATGGAAGGTACCTACCGATGTCCTTTGCTGATTCAAACCACCATTTGCCTCCACATATATGTAGCCGTTTGGTTCGGGCAAACCTACCAAAGTACAGAAGTAACCAATTATTGATTTGAACTTCCTTCAATATGAAATGCTTTGCGCGAAATGGCATCTGCCATAAACTAAAGTAGCAAAATAGAGCAATGCATACACTGTGGCCAAATATGTCAAATACATTAAGTATATCGTTTTGCAACTATAACTTTTGAAGGACTCATATCAGGGCAATCAAACATAGAAAATGTGCCTACGACAAATCAGAGAATGCTCAATTGTAAATGTGCAGAAAAACAAAGAAAAGTTTCTTTGAACTTGATCAAGTCATATATCATTAGAGTGATACCAGTACATGAAATTAGAAATGCAGAGAAATATTCAGAAGTTTTGAATTGACATACCATAGGTATTATTGCTTATGCAAGGTTGCCAAACACCACCTTTGTAAGCATGCCGCCATACAGTTGCTAGCTACAAAAATGTAGCAATATGAGAATACTAGTAACACGTGCATGTGAACTAAATAAGAGACACAAATAGGTAAAAAAATGCGGCAAAAAAACGTATCTCAAAGACACTATAGAACGATGTACTAATTCTCTTATAGCATACAACATGAACATGAGCTACTACTGAAAAACAAGTCCTTCGGAGTTGAGAGGCCATCAGGTATACACAAGTTTCATACACTTGAATCATAAATTAACCTGTCAATCTGTCATCATCGCTACTAATATGAAAAGCCATGTTCACCAGATGCTCCTAACCATGTCTATTGTGTACACACATTCATAAGATTCAACTGTTAAAAGCAATTGTTTTAGACCAGCAGAATTGCAGACTGTTGGATGGATAGTTTGCATTGGGTTTTCCATAATTCCGTTCAATTAACAAATACTATGTGATACCGCAATATTTACAACATTTCTGCACATGCTATTGCTTGAAGCAGGTAATCTGACAAATTCTCAAACCGCAATTATCTGATTCTGACCAAGATATGTGTCTTCTCCCAGTTGATTAAAAATACTAGGAACCCAACAAATCTGAAGTATGTTTCAACTTGGTGAAACACCATTAGTTTGCCCTGTTATCCACCCTCACATACATTTCCACAACTGTATTGTAGTAATTCTGCAGCAATCGGGGGTAAAACTAACCCATATCTGTCCTAACCAGCACGCACCACATAAAGCAAACGAGTATACGGCCACAAGCAGAAAACGACATAGTTCAGTCTCTGAAGACACGCTGAAAGTCAGCTCACGCACAATGATCCAACCACCCACCGCCGCACCCACTACAATCCGAGCATCGAGAGAACTCGCTCCACCCCCGAATCGAGTAAACACTTCGATCGCAAACACAGACTTCCAGAGACGAGCAGGGGGGAGGGGCAGCGCGGCACTCACCGCGTCCGTGGCGTTGTCGGCGTCCATTTCGGGGCGCAGGCGGGCGTACAGCTGCGGGCTGTGGTAGAGCGAACCGGGCGCGGGGCGGGAGATGATGCGGGGCACGCCGTCGAGGGAGATGGAGCCCATGTAGAGCAGCATCGCCGCGACGTAGAGCAGCGGTGCGAAGAGGAAGACGGCCTGCCGCCGCAGCAGCGCGGCCAGCACCGCCCGCGCGGCCCGCCGCGCCGCGCCTCCCCCTCCCGCCGCCTTCCCCGCGCCCGCGCCGCCCTTGGCTGACGCCCTCCTCCCCCACGCCCGCCGCGGCGACGACGGCGGGGACGCCGCCGCCCCCGCCCCGCCGCCCACGCCGAAGCTCCCCAGGCGGCTGTACGCGTGGTGATGCATCGAAGCCGCCTCCGGAACCCCCCGGCA